TTTGAAGAAACATAAGAGACTTGGATGGACCTCGATTAAAGAGAGAAGAAAAGTAGTGAGACAAACCTTTAATCTTTCATTCTCTGATGTTGTGGAAAAGGATATCACGTTTACGTGCCCATTCGACACTTTTATTTATCGAAGATTCTTATTTGATCCTGGAATAAAAGGCGAAGGCACTAATACAAATTTCAAGGGCGATGGATTCTATCCAAAGTTACTCCCCACTTTGGAAGAGGAGACTGTAGGAAATCTCTCTTTGGGAAAGGATGCATATGTGATCACTTATCCACCTTGACTCCTCGGGTGTGTTCTTTCCTTTCTCTCACTCTTATTTTATTTGTATGTACTTTCATTGAGGACAATGCTTGTTTTAAGTCTGGGGGAGGGAAACCTTTGTTTTATTTGCTTGTTTTACTATTTTGTTTTGTTTTGTTTTTGGTTATAATAATAAAAATTAAAAAAAAAATTTGCATCTTTTTGAAAGTTCTAGGCTAAAGACTAATTTGAGATTATTTTATGGAGACTTGGGAAAAATTCACAAGATCGGTACCGTCTTAACACCGTAAGTCTCCTGCATGTGGAAATTGATTTGAATATTCTTTATGTTTTAGCCTTAAATTTTCATTCTCTGACAGCTCTTGAGTAGTTTATTTCAGCAGTCAGCACCATCTCATACACACTCTACGCAGGGAAGCCGATGAATATAAGTGAGTGATCAAATTTTTAGCTTGAAAAAAAAAAGAAAAAGAAAAGAAAAGAAAAAGTTGAAAATTTTTTTTATTACTCGTTAGTTGGTTCAACGATTTCTGGTGCTGAACTTGGTAGGGCGGATTAAGGTCCGATCCCCCGCAACTACAACTGAGTAAGCAAAGGGTTATGCCACGTAAGTACCAGAACCCCAAACAAAAAGGATCAGAGTCACTAACTGGTCGCCTTTCTATGAGTGTGTGGAGATAACGGACTTAATGTGATTGCGCCTGAATGAAAAAGAGCAAAAAGGAGGATGAGTAAGTTAGGCTTTAACATAATAACATGATTTTAGTTAATTTCTGTATTCAGGAGGCTTATGTCTGCAAAATTGTGGATTAGTGTTTCTACGATATCCTTAGTGTGTAAGATTAGTATCTATCGTTGCAAACTTAACCGAAGAAGACTTTTAGCCTGGAATGAGTAATTGTTGATGTGTTTGTGCTTTCTTTGTTTTGTTTTATTTTAATTTTGCTCGGAGTGCAAAGGTTCAAGTCTGAGGGAATTTGATCAGTGCATCTTTATGCATATTCTCCTATATTTTTACTTAGACATTTATTTACTTTATTTTGATTATTCTTATGTTTTATTATGTTTTTATATTTTATTTTATTTTTGGTTTAATTTGATTTTCGCACTTTATTTTTCAGCTTTAGTAGTCTGCACGGAAACGATCATAACTGGAGTTCTGGGAATCCGTTTGAGGCGTTCTAAAAATCGCCGGAAAGCTAAGAGAGAGAGAGCTACGACTTTTATGTTGGAGTCGAAGTCAGATTGGGAGCACATTTTCCCAGAATATTCGTTGAAGTTACAGCACTAGGAATTTGTTTTAGTTTTGAGTCATGTTTTGGGCTTGGGTGATGTTTTCGACCCAGTTGGGTTATGAACTTGTTTTTATTTTTAGGGGAAACCTTGTTTTACTGTTAATTATATACTATTCACGAAAAAAATTGAAAAAAAGGTTTTAGAAGAACTCATAGAAAACTAATACCTCCGGGCAAATCCTGTTGTGTACGGTTTCAACACTTTGAGGTTATTATAATATCAATTTAAATCTGATTCCTTTCAATCCTTTTCTATGAAGTCATTTGCTTAATTTGATTGCAATTGTTTGCTTAATTTAATTGTTGTTCATGGAATAGAATTGATTAAATTCGATTGTATGCATGTTCCTAAATTTAACTCCGTGTTATCGTTTGCTTAATTCGTTAATTCATCATATTCTTAACTGTTTGCTTAATTCGGTAAACAGGAACATAACTCATTTGATGTTGGTAAGCGCTTGTCTGATTAATATCATAATCGAATAGGATTGGAGCCGTTTAGGGATTGATGTTATAATAGTTGATGATAAGTCGGAACCCGAATTAGTAGGATTAACCGTTTTATCTTATTTTAATAATCACTTTTTTTATAGTCACTTATTTTAAGTATTTTTTCTCTTAATCAAAATTCAAACCCCCATAAACTGTTACTTTATTGGTCAATCACTACAAGAATCCTTGCGAACGATAGTCTGAGTTATTGTCGCTGTACTATAATTTTTACAACAAGACTCGTTTCTGATCCGCGCGCGACAGCGGATCAGTGCATGCATCGCATCTGTATACCATTGCATGTGCATTTCATTTGCATTGTACACCATTTCCTAAACCCAAAAAGTTTATCCATCCTTTGTCCATAATCCGAAGTTGATTTCCCGACACACGTATTGGACTTGAATTAGTGCTGGAAGACCATGGACCGCTTGAAGCAGAATCAAGTTGAGTTAAGAAAAGACGAGAACCACGCAGAAGGCAAGATGAAACAGCTGCCAGAAGTTATGACGACTGTGAAACAAGAAAGCTAATCCAAAAGTTGATCAAGGAAGAAAAGCCCAATTCCTCAATGCTAGCAGTTTCCATATCATTTTTGCGCATTTGTAGTTTTCTTTTCTGTTAAAGTGCTATTTGCTTTTAGACATTGTTTCTTATCAATGGTATTGTTAATGTGATAATTATGCATGTTTTGAATAAATCCATTCGTATTCACTCACGTTTTCTCTTTTATTGCAAAATTAAAAAAAATCCACTTCCTTTATCGCACTGCTGTTTAGCAAAGATTTGAGGGAGGATGACGAAAACAAAATACCCATAATTACTGATGGTATGCTTTTGGATAAAATTCCGCTGATGATGTACAGGCATTGTTTCAAATCCCCAAACACTGAAGAAATAAGGATTTAATCCCTAGTCAACCACTTCGAGCCTAGAATAGGAGTTTCCTTTGGACTTTTAAACCCTTACGCTTAACCTGGGGCATGGGTAGTGTTCAGTTAACCTGATTATGCACTCGAATCACGAGACAAAATCCAAAAGACATGACGGTGGTCCATCAATGACCACTACAAGAAAATAAGCAAATTGCGACTGTTAATTTTGCAGATTACGACGGTTAAAACCGATGTAAGTTTCAAGTCACGACGGTTCCCCTACTATCGTAGAAACATGTGTCGTGAGGCTGTTTTACGACGATTTTAAAAGCTGTCGTTCCAACTGTCGTAACATTCTGTGACGGTTTTGAAACGGCCTTTAATATATTATTACGACGGTTGTAACCGCCATAATTATATAATATATATTTCATTGAAAATAACGACGGGTGTAACCACCATAATTATATATTATATATTTCATTTAAAATAGTGACAGTTTAGAACCGCCGTAATTTTATTATTATTTTTTAAATTGCTACATTATCTCCTCTCTTCATGTTAGTATAATACCAATACTATTACAATATTCAATTCAATTAATACAAAATACCATAAAAAAGTGTAATTTTATTAAACAAAAAAATTATCAATATCCACAATAAGGTCAAGAACCCGTTCACATTTACTATGATAAAATTTTGAAGAGACAAGTTACATCATCGCCATTCACCTCACTAACTTGCATTGTAAAATAAATACTACATAGTGTATATAACAAAAATGTATACTTGAACCTTGACCATTGTCTACTACCACTTGAACCTCATAATAGAAAAACACTTGAACCTCATAATAGAAAAACTCTTGTCAGATCTATCCTTGCTAACTTCTATAATATCCAACCTCAACCTGAAAAATGGGTGGCATCGAGACGTTTAGGACACAAATAAATACATTTGGAGTCCCTGTCATATTGTATTCCTTAGAGCACCCTGCATTAATATAACACACCTAATTTAAAAGAACATTTAACATTTCAATTGGAATTCCATCTCTCAAACAAATTCCAAGAAAAGAGAAGTCGATGTTACCTTGACATCAGAAGTTAGTACTATCTCATTGCTTTTTGGCTCCAACTTTTTCATTTCGTAATATTTTGATATTGGCGATGCAACATCTCTGAGATAAATAGCTCCGACTTTTGAGTCTGGAATATTGTCAAGAACCGGGAGTTCATGCTTAGAACCTATTGTAATTCTCCTATCAAACTTCGACGAAATGACACCTAAAGTTCGAGAAGATTGTAATCAGAAACACATTCATGATTGAACATTCACTGTTGTTGAATTTGATATCATTAAATAGCAGATAGAAAATGAAAGGAGACCTGAACCGGATCCCGACATTATTTTCTGGAAATTTACATCGCAATTTTGTTGTTATTATTGCCTAATGATCCGTCCACGCCATTCATTCATGGTTTTGTTTTGGTCATCATGGGAATAATCACATTCTGGTGTGCACCAGCAACAAATGATCCGATATTTGCATAAATAGCAGCTGCATCAGTCATGGAATGCTCCCCCTGATTATGTCAAAAAGCTAATTTCTTTGCTTCAAGTTTCCCCTGTAGATATAATTTAATAATTAGTTTATTTGAATGTATGTTTGTGTTCGAACGTCTGTGGCTCAAGAATATTCACTAAGAGTGTTAAGGGGAGAAGAAATCTCCTACAAGGCTACATCAAACAGGCTCTAAACAAGTCATAAAAAAGTTTTTCACCCTTGCAGTGAGAATAATCACCTCTCCAACATCAAGATGAATTGGGAGTTAGCATGCCTAGATCTTCCTCGGGATTGGACATAACTACAAACTGTCGTGGGGAGATCAAATCGTATCACACATGAGCAGTTTAGCACGTGGATTCCTTCCTCAAGTACATCAGTAGTAAATAGAAGATTGATCTAAAAAAAACTAAGAATCTATTATGAGATTTTTTATGCCAACCATTTAAAAAAATCCTAATGTATATGACAAAATAAATACCTTTCCAGATCAGAAAGAATCCATTATCTCTTTCTTCCTGTTACGAGCCAGTGCATCAGCTGATGTATTGCTTCCGGTTACATAGGCAACTGTGAGATGAGATATCTGGGAAAATTTTTTCACAAATATTTCAATCACCTTAGCCGCAATGATTCTTTCCACAAAAATGAGGCACAGTAACTGACTAGGTTCTCTGCAAACACCGAATGATAGATTATGAGTTTGCTCTGAGGCATAATACAACATTATAGTGAATTCGTAGTTGCATACCCAAATGATTGGAAGAGTTTAATGAGTTCAAGTAATTTTGGTGATATGTATCCCATTTCCACTGCCTTTGAAAAATCAAATTCAACATGCAAAATCACTTCATTGGCTGCAGAAATAATAGCAACAAAATTTAGCAAGCCAAGATTTGATCAGACATTCAAATAATGTCAGCAGCAAAACAAGCCATCCTTCTCCACCCTCACCCGCCCACAAAAAACAAAACACATACACAGAGCAAGCAAACAAAGAAACACCAGATTAATAATACGCACATGCCTGTAGAAAGGGTTGGAATAGACCAAAAATATCTATATGGATTTTCTCATTGCGAATATGGAAGCACTGACCAAGTAGAGTGTTGCGCATTGCATTTGGAGACAGTGTAGAGCTTAACCAAAGCTTACAGCCTTAAACCACGCCAAAAGAAAATGTCAGAAAAACAAATATTTTAAAATTAAGGAAAAAGAAAGGGGAAACAAGTAACTTTAGGAATTGGAAAAGGAAAATGTGTACCAAGCATTTCAAAAAGTAGTCTCAAGCAAGTAACAGCGTGTGAAAATTCAAGCGAATCGCCACTAATATGATTGAGTACAATATCAAGGAAAAAAGGGATAATTTTCCAATATCCCTTCTTCAAAAGCTGGGGGATCCAAGAAACCAAGTCTTCACAAGACATGCGTCAAAATGTACCATGTCAATATTACAAAAGAGCTGACTAAGCTAAATCATAATACTAATAAGAGAAAAGAAAAACAAACTACTTACAGTGATTTGATACCAATCCATATGGTCGCTATTGACTACTCTGACTGAGACATCATTAATAATTAATTGAATGTGACTACAATACATGAATGTGAGTCAGACACTATACATTATTTCATGCATACAAATTGAAGTGTCGGTACTACCAATAGAAATGTAGTCAATCGAACTATCATGCCTCAGAGTCAGACACTATTTCATGCATACGAGCTAAAGTGTTGGTACCAATATAAATATAGTCAATCGAATTATCATCATATTTTGACCAAGATCTCGTATCGTAAATTAGACAAACTGATTTGAACCATCAAACTATTATCAATGGTCAAGTTACTTTGTGACTACATTCACTAAAATTAAAGACAAACTGACATTCTAGGGGAAAGAATGCTTACTTCTTTCGGTTTAGATTTCCTTTAACACTCATCCCCTCCAATCTTTCAACCTTCCCTATTTCATGCAGTGGTTTCCTTTCTGCCAAAGCTTTAACCGGCGGAGTCTTCAACCGAAATACCAACAGTTTCAATCAATCTGTTGTCTTCTAACTTTAACAGCAACTGCAAAATAAAATTCCAACAAAAAAGGCAAGAAATAAAGGAATCATCAACTAATTCCAAAACTAAGCTTTTAGGTCAAAAGAATTTTTAAGAAATTAATCAAATTGACAAACCTGATGAAAATCGAAAGTAATGGGGGATTTTTCATCTTGTAACATCAAATAAAAACTGAGTATTTGCCATCATTTATCCAGAGAGTATGAGAGATTGAAGGACTTGGCAAAATGCGATTTGGGGGAGAAATTATTTTTAGAAATTGATTACAGATATCAAGACTGAGGGATTGTGATTTGGGGAGAAATATAGGCTTTATGGGGAGAAAAGGGAAGCAGAAAGCGAATTAGTAAAAATTAGAAGAACGAATGGTGAAAATAGGCGGTAGTTGAAGTGTGAAGAAATACAGAGGCAATTCTTACATATGTCGTAGATTCATTGATATACTTCTATATGTTGAAGGATCTCTCAATTTTGGTGTTTTAATTTTTAAAAGTTAACATAATGAATGGCGACAGTTGCATTGAACCGCCGTAGTAAGTGTCACAAGTATGTTTTCGAGGCAGTTTTTCTATAACCGTCGCAAATCAAGTGTTGAAAAATTAATTTTTATTATTATCAAAATTAATTTTAATAAAAATTAACTATTTATATAATAAAACAGAACATATTTTACTATTATTTTAGACAAAAATATTAAACTACATTGTGATGATAATTATAATAATTATTTATTAAATTAATTAATAAAATTGAAAAGGTTGAAAAATAAAAATGAAAGAAAAAAGTGGAAAATCAAAGGAATAAAAAAAATAGTGATTATGATTGGCTAAAGTAATTACGACAGTTCGCCTTAACTGTCGCGAGTGTGGAAAGAGGGCGGTTCTTTGGTAACTGTCGCAATTATTTTATACAACATGTCTAAAAAATCTGCGACGGTTGGCTCAAACTGTCGTGAGAATTGTCGTAGTCTAGGAATAAGGAAGGTTTTTTTATAACTGTCACAAAAAATCTACGACAGTTGACCCTAACTGTCGTGAAAACCGTTGCAATCCATAAATAAGGACGGTTTTGTGATAACTGTCGCAACTCAGGTGTCGTAAATCTCCTTTTTTCTTGTAGTGGACCAATGACTTGGCAGTCACAAGCCTTTCAAAAAAAGAAGAAGCCTGCTAAGTCAAACACCTCAAAAGGAGACTTAGGCAAAAAAAATCAAGGCAATCCCGGTGGACTCGAAAAGAAAAATCAGTCCATGCAAAAGTTATGGATCAAAATAAAAATCAAAAGAGACCCTCGAGTCCTTAGGAAAACAAAATAAGATTCAGTGACCACCATATCAAGAATCAAAAGGGTCATTGACATCCATAAGAAAAATAAAACAAGGGTGACTGCTATTTCAAGCATACCTTGAATCATCACTCTTGCACCGTCAAGATCTGAGTGTGTGTGCGCGTCAAATTAATTGAATGTAGGACTGGAGATCATCACGAAGAAAGGGTGGGTTAAAATGAAATTTTGAGCCTTATATCCTTTGTTTCTATAACCGTGAACCAGACCATGATACAACCCTCAAAAGACCTAATTGAGGCGGGATTTATTCTGAAAGAATACTACAGCAAGGTTAAACTGACTCCTAAAGATTTGCTAATCATTTGCATTTGTGTCATATTCTTCCTATATCTTTCACGCACCAGTTAAATCAGCACTGCATTTGGTCTAACAGTCTACTCGTCACACATTGTCACCTCATTATGATAAATGAACGTTTTCAAAAGCTTGCATGAATATCGCATTAAAATTACCATTTTTGAATAATCAATTCTAGCTGCAAATCAGTACTTGGCATAATGGACTTCCAACAAAGAGCAATTTAAGAGGGACCTGATCATTCACTGATATTGGCTTGAATCAAAACTTTCTCATGACCTTGTGGATATGGGGCAAGTCCTTTTGAGGTTCAAACAAGGGCAGACCGCTACAAGATTCAGACACTGGGGCAAATGAACTCAAGCCATGTCTTTGTATAATCCCTCCCAAAATTCTCATCCTAGAAGAAGTCCTTCAAACACCCAGCAGACTAGGGCAGACTAGTTAAACTAGGGCAGACTATTTGAACATAGGCAATTTCTCCTCCTTGCTTTCAAATTGGTCAAGCTGACCATGCCAGACACCAGTAATTGTTGAGGTCAATAAGCGTCGAAAACCTTGGAGCAGAGCAAAAACACAATCATCATGCTTTGGATAAGTTTCTACGCTCGCGCAATCAACATGCTTCGGATAAGTCGCTATGCTCACACATTCAGCATGCTTGGATCATGTCGCTACGCTCAACTTTTGTAAGCCATCATGACATATCAGCTAGAAGTGAGGTTACTTACAAGAACAAGTAGACCACTTATGCAAAGGATCCAGCTGGGGTCACCAAAAGCATCCACATTTGTCCTCCAATTATGGCACTGTCAGATATTATGTGTCGGGAAGTCAAATCCTTTTACCGAATAAAGTCCAATCTTGCTTGGCACATCCCCATAAAAAGCCCAATCCTTTATTGGCGACTACAAAAAGCCACTCCAGTTGGCACCTTCAATTTACCCTAAAAAGTCTAGCCTTCATTGGCAACCACTAAAAGTCCACCCTCGATGGCATCCTCATAAAACCAAAGTCCAATCCATTTGGCAACTAACAAATCCAATCCCTGGTGATACCTCCAACCGGAAAATTTATCCCCAGCATACCTGATCATTTGCATTATCATAAGCATGGCATATAACATCATATCATATTCATATCAAGCATTAACATATCATTTGCATTCTCACGTGCATTAGACTCCTAGCAGTTGCATCTTAGTTGCATGTTTGTGCATCATAGTGCATGTCATTGATGTCCCCACCAGCATAGCATAATAGCATAGCAGGATCCAGGATCAGTTCGCAAGCTTCTCGACCAATACTCCTTCATGGAAGTCGATAGTATTTCTCTGAAAAGAGTTGATACACCGCGCGTGCTTGTGGAATTTTTATTCCCCAGCAAGTCATTCTTCAACCATGAAAAGAGTTGATGATGATAACCCCCAGTAGTTGTTGCTCTTGTGGCTCACCATGTAGAGGTTATCTTAAAAAGTTTCTTGAAGGCCTTTCCTCTAATAAGAATTTTTGCTCAACTATTCCCCATCAAATTTGTCGCTCGAGATATTGCTTTGGTATCATCGAAGATCCTATTGGATAAGGTACTGCTTCGACAACCTGAAGAATCTCAAGTTTTGTTTGAGATACTGCTTTGGTATCATCGGAGAACCTTAATAGATAAGGTACTACTTTGACAACCTGAAGATTCTCAAGTTTTATTAGAGATACTGCTTTGGTATCATCGATGAGGCTTAATGGATAAAGTATTGCTTCGACAACCTGAAGAGTCTCAAGTTTTGTTCGAGATACTGCTTTGGTATCATCGAAGAGCCTCAATGGATAAGGTACTGCTTCGACAACCTGAAGAGTCTCGAGTTTTACTCGAGATACTGCTTTGGTATCATCGGAGAACCTTAATAGATAAGGTACTGCTTCGATAACCTGAAGAGTCTCAAGTTTTGTTCGAGATACAACTTTGGTATCATCGAAGAGCCTCAATGGATAAGGTACTGCTTCGACAGCCTGAAGAGTCTCAAGTTTTATTCGAGATACTGCTTTGGTATCATCAAAGAGCCTTAACGGATAAGGTACTTCTTTGACAACCTGAAGAGTCTCAAGTTTTGTTCGAGATACTGCTTTGGTATCATCGAAGAGCCTTAATGGATAAGGTACTTGTTGTACCCCAAAATTTGACCAACTCTTTTCTTGTAATCGGCTTATGTTTCATTTCATTTTAGCATTTGCATTTGCATAGCATTGTTCTTAACAGGGGATCAAGAGAGATGTGCCATTCAAGAGAAGAGTCTCAGGGATTCCAAACTCAAGAAAGAGTGTTTACCATCACCAAGAAGTTGTCAAAGCTCCTTGAAAGAGATGATTGATGTGTGTGGGTTGTCTCCTATCTTTGGGGTCAACAGAAGATCATCAGGGGTCCATAAGATCATTGTTGTGGAAAGATTATGTTTGAGAAGCTCATTGAGTACTTTGGAAGTCATTGTGGAGTTTATCTAGCCACTCATTTCATCTGCAAGAGGCCACAGTCAAAAGATGTGAATCTAGGGTTTCATCTGGTCAACTCAAGGTCAACTGAGGACTTGAGGGAATTCAAGACTTGACTCTAAGTCATTGAAGCCACGAGAAGTTATCTTGAGACATTTAGTATGTCATGTCAATTTCAAATTAAGATAATTCAAGGGTTCAAGGAGTTACTAAATTAGGGTTTCAGAGGATCT